AAGGAACACTCTGGCTGCACTTCCTCCAACACAGATCTGTTTGTTCTTTTAGCAGCCCATGGCACTTTGAATATTCTCCTCCAACACCACAACTCAAAAACATCAATTCTTTCACGGTCTCCTTATTTTCACTGTCCAACTTCGCATCCAACTTTAGCCTCTCTTAATCCTAGCTTGAGATGGTTAAGCAGGCACTCATAGGTCCCCTTTACTTCATCTGGATCACTGGCCATAGAGACACTGTGCCAAATGGCCAAGTTTCATAGTACAGTATGAAGGGGCTTCAAAAAGTTTGTGAAAAAAATCCATTGTCTTTTAAATCCATTTTTCCACAGGCATTTTGAAGCCTCCTCATATGTATGGCATTGTAGGATAAACACTGTACTGCTAGCCACAAGGTCAGTGGTGCAAACCCACCAGCCGCTTGTGGTTATACAGAGTCACTATGAGTCGGAACTGGCTCAGCGGCACTTAGCAACACTATATGTGGAATGTGTCAGCAGTAATATCTTGAATGAGCTTTCTGGACTTTAGAAGGGGTATCTCATGCTGCTCCTACTGCGTACGTAACAGATGTTGATGCCCTGAGAGGTCATTTGTGTTAGGTCCTAGCTCACACCTGATTAGTGGTAATTTTAAGATGAAAGCAAAATACCGATAATGATAATGTCAGCTCTCATTTGTGAAATGATTTCCATATACCAGGTGCTGTAATAAGGGCTTTAATTAAAACCTGTAGTGATTATGACAGCCATAATATTGATGATGGTGACTATTCACAACTAATGTTTGTTGAACACTTAACGTGTACCAGATAATAAACAGTTTAAATGTTTTAACTGTTTAGACTTTAGCACAAACCTAGAAGTCGTTGTTAACTATCTGCATTTTAAAGATGGGGAAATAGACTCAGAGACCAAAATGTTTAACATCACTTAGGTAAGTGTGCAAAGGGTCCCGGTGTGGTGCTCTATGGTCAGTATTGAACTTCCAACCACAAGGTCAGCTGTTCAAACCCACCAATCACCCATTGGAAGCCCCATACAGGGTCACTATGAATTGGAACTGACTTAACAACAGTTATCAACAACAAAACATAGTACACAGGAGAGCCAGGATTCAAACCTTGTGTTCGTTTAACTTCAAAGCCTATACGTTAACCGTGTGGCCACTGTCAGTGTCAGTAAACTGGAAGCCTTCTGAGCCCTCATCAACACTGTTGTTCTGCTGCCTGTTGCCTTCTCCTGTTTGCTTACAGCACGCAAAGCATAGAAATTATAAAGTGGCTTCATTCAGACTTGTAGCTGTTATTTTCCCCTTATTTTCTGTGGACTGGCTCTTTGTATGGCATACGCAGGTATGATCAGTGTAAGGTCAGAGAGCTGAAATTTACAGCCCAGTCAGATAAATTCAAATTGAGGTGTGGTCTGTAGGATGAAAGGGGGAGTGCTGGAGCAGTGTGGGTATGGTTCACTGTGTTTAGCACCTAGACTAGTGCCTGGCACACACTGGGTGATTACACATGTTTATTGAATGAATGTGTGAGCGAATTAAAAAGTAAAGGAATGAGTGGGTGGGAACAAATAAAGGATAAAGCAGTAGAGATGAAGCCCCAAGAAGTTCACTAGTTCTCCCTGTAGTGGGCAAGAGACATGGGTAGGGATTTGTCAGGCAGAGAGATAAAGAGGAAGGCTGTATGCTTTTTAAGCATGTTGGTGACAGGCCAGATGTATTTTATTTAAAAAAGATCATTGTCAAAGGAGCATACAGCAGTAGGTCCCAAACCTGCCAGCATGTTAGGATTACCTAATATCTTTTTAATATTCCAAAGCTCAGACTAATTGAAGTACAGCTTTTGGGTTTGGAACATAAGTATTTTTGAAGTCCTGTAATCGGCAGACAAGTTTGGGGACCACTTTATCATGCTCTTCCTGTGTTTTTGAATAAAGTTTTAATGGAGCTCAGCCATACCCATTTGATTTTAAAATGTCTGTGAGCAGAATGTTCCTTGGTAGTGAGGATGGTGAGACTTCACCTGGAGAAGGACATCATGCTTGGTAAAGTAGAGGGTCAGTGAAAAAGAGGAAGACCCTTAACGAGACAGATTGACACAGTGGCCACAGCAATGGGCTCAACCATAGCCACTATTGTGAGGATGGCACAGGACCAGACACTGTTTCGTTCTGTTGTGCACGGGGTCACTGTGAGTCAGAACCAACTTAACAACATTCAACAACAACAACATGACTGCTTTGGAGTCCCAGCACCAAAAGATAGTGTTAATTCCAGAAATCACTGAATCCTTTCTCTATCTAGGACATTTAGGTCAGTAAATGTCAAACCACAGACTGTGGTCATTAGTGAATTTTGTAGATTGCAAAGGGTCAACATGCTCAACTGTTAACCGAAAAGTTATTGGTTCAAGTTAACCTGATAGTCTGTTTCTGAAAAATAAGCCATTGAAAACCCTGTGGAGCCCAATTCTACACTGATACACATGTGGTCACCATGAATCAGAATGAAAACTGGTTGTGGTCGTAGATGGCTGTACTAGCAGAATCGAGTTAGGACCACATTGTGTGGTTTCACAAGGTGAAAATACTCATATCTGCTATATGCCCCTTTCTGGAGAAAGTGATTATAGGATGCCAGCTCTTTCAGAAACCCAGAAAAGAAGAAATGGGTACCTGTAGCAGTGACACTTCAGCACTGGAGATCAGAGTCCTGATGTGACTCTCATCCTCTGAAGTAGACCATCTCGAATTAAGTGAAGGACTACTGTGTACTGTTAGCAGGGGTGACTGACTTTCGAGATGAACTGTAGTGTAGTTAGCAGTCATCTACTGCCACCTGCAGAACTCCCAGCCCAGTCATGGGCATTGGTGCTTTCTGCATTCACAGGTATGATGGATGGATGGATGGATGGATGGATGGATGGATGGATGGATGGATGGATGGATGGAAGGATGCATGGAAGGATGCATGGATGGATGGATGGATGGATGGATGGATGGATGGATGGATGGATGGATGGAAGGATGGATGGATGGATGGAAGGAAGGATGGATGGATGGATGGAAGGATGGATGGAAGGATGGATGGGAAGGAAATAAGGAAAGGTAGTGAAAAAGTATAAGCCATAGTGTCAGTTCTGTATTTATTGTCTCATTAAGAAAAAAAATTGACATGGGAGAAATAATTACAGTATAGTAAAACAGTATAGGAAGAAGGTGTTACAGTTGAGACTATTCATTGAAGGCATTTAGAGAAAGAAAGGATAAGTTAGTACGTCTGGGATGATAAAAACCAGCTTTGGGGAAAACTACTATTCACTGAGAGGCAGTATACAAGGGGGCTTCAAAAAGTTTGCAGGAAAATGGAATTAAAAGGTGATGGAATTTTCCCATAACCTTTTTGAACCCCCCTTATGCATCTGGAACTTAATAGCTAGTAGCTCATTTAATTGGATATGAAGTTAGCCTCATATCCAATCCCTATCCAATTCCTGTGTGTAGGGGTGGGGCAGTGGGAATGGGAAGGAACAAACACAAGCAAAGGAAACAGAATACATAACATGTCTAAGGTCTCATAGCTGCTAGTTGATGGAAGCAAGTTCAGATCCAGAGATTCCATGAATTCTAAAACTGTGCTCATGCCATGCCAGCTGTTACATTTTCAAGAGTCAGCACTAGGGCTTTAGGTGAATTTTGATGGGTGGGAAGAATTTGGATAAGCAGACTATTTTGAAGTTCCATACCACTGTCTTTGATGATTATTTTTTAATGATTATTTTTACCTATTAACGTTGCCAAATGTAGTATCTCAAAATAAATGGTGTCTTGTTCTTTTCCCCACTCTTCCCTTTCTAGAATAATGAAGAAAGTCGTAGGAAACAGATCTGGCTGTCCAACGGTAGGGGACAGAATCGTGGAGCTCATTTATATTGATATTGTGGGACTAGCACAATTCAAGAAAACTCTTGGGCCATCTTGGGTTCATTACCAGTAAGTGCTGCATACTGTTACTCATAGTTTTAGAGCCCTCTCACCCTACCCCAAGGATTGCATGCTCATAGCTAGAAAAAGCTTATCAAATACTATCTTTTGAGCTCTGTGGAGTGTTTTTCTCATTTTGTATTTGATATTCAGATTCTTCACGGTGACTTTTTGCCTTCAAGGGCTATTCATTATTTTCATTGATTTCTCAAGAATAGAAAACAAGTGTCCAGACTCCTTTTTGCCTCCCCTAATACTTAACATTCCTCTCTCAGTACGCCCACACCTGTCTCAACTGTCTAATCAAATAACAATTTTGATAAAATATGGGCAGTATTGCTTCTTGTGTTCCTTCGATTTGAGATGATGATTCATGTTTGCTACCTTTGCCTTCATCAGTATTCTTGTCATTCTTGGAAGAAAAAGCCAGGAACACTTTGTCTAAAGGCTGAGTCATGAACGTTTTAAAATAAGCCTCATGCTTCAGGTGGCTAAGTGACCGCTGTGGTTACTTGATATACTAGCTCTGTGTTTCTAGGATATGGGTTGGAGACAAGGAGTACTTGAAATGACTTTACATGGTAAACAACATGGCACTAAAACTCAATAACATTGGCTCGTATAATGAGATTCATTAAGTTTTCAATTTTACTTCAGTCTTTCTGAGAAAAGGCTTAATTTAATGCTTAACAAAGTGAAAGTAGCTATATGTCTCTGCTTTCCGTAGGCTTGTGGATCTAGCCAGAATTTAAAAATACTTTATTTTTTTCAGAGGTTGTGTATATTTTCTGTTACCTACCATTTATTGCACTTGATACTAGCTTTTATTTATGGTCTTAATAAAAGTTTCCTGTTTAAAAAAAGTCATTTTTAAAAGGTGAGTAAATTTAAATAAAGATTTTGTATGTGACAGCAGAAAAAATGCATATATTTGGAGACAGGTAAACATAAGTGTGGAGTCCTGGTGTAGTGCTATGGGTTAATGCGCCAGACTGCAAACCCGTTTGAAGTGCAAGGTCAGCAGTTCAAGCTCACCAGCTGCTCCTTGGAAACCCCTATCCAGGGTCGCTATGGGTTAGAATCAACTCGATGGCACTGTACAACAACAACAAACATAACTCTTGACTTACAGTTTGAACCAACTTCCTAAGACAAGATGGAAATGTTCTCTTAGTGGGCAAAGATGTAACCAATAATCAAGTCCTAATAGACTGAACCTGGAGACCCTGGTCGACACAAACTAACCAAAGGGTTGGTAGTTCAAACCCACCTAGAAGCACCTCTTAAGAAACGTCTGGCGATCCTAAAAATTTCCTAAAAATCAGCCATTAAAACTGGAGTGGAGCACAAAACTCCTCTGACACACGTGCAGTCATTGTGAGTGGGAATCAATGACAGGGCAGCTGGCATGCCTTTGTTTATTTAGTTGTTTTTAACAGCCTAAAGTATGTCTCCACAATTCAGGTTAGTTTAAAGTTTAATGTAAACTTCAAAGATTCAAATTTATGTCAGATTGGACATCCTTTAGAAACTAGAAGAACGTTTAATTGAAAAATATTTAGGACCTTCTTAAAAATGAAACTGAAGAACATGCTCATAAAGATCTCCCCTCCCCCAGTGCTTCCTCATTGGAAGTGAAACACCCTTAGACACAGGGACAGACTGCTGTCTTCCTGTCCTATGGGTTGTAGTTTCATAAAAATAAAAATTTTAATTTCATTTAAGCTATAATCACAGTCTACCTTTTTCATCAAGTTTTCCCAGGTTTTGTTGATGTTGTTGTTGATTTGTTTTGTCTTGAAATCTTGATGAGTCACAGGCCACCACATTTCTTCTCAATTATGTGGAAATAATTCTCTCTTCTTGGTTAATACACCATCTACTAGACATTCTGTTTGTTCCTTTAGCTACAGCATTAAAAAAGAAGAAAGCAGAATCAGTGCTTTATGTCATGTTCAAATGGCGGGCAGCATGGGATTTGGGCAGTCTAGTCATCCCTAGACTCCCATAAGCTGGCTGTGAGGAAGGGCTGTCTGAGCAGAAATGTTCTCAGCAGTGGTGTCCAGCTCAATGAAAGAGAGTGATTGCATTCCTAACATGGTCTCTGTTGATTGATATTTGATGCTGTCTAGAGGAAAAGGTACCATCTCAGAGGGGGCTTTATGGCACAGTGTAATGTTCATTCTGCCTGTCATTCTAATAAATCAGACACCTGAGTGGTATTAGCTGACTGAATTTAGCCTTGCAGTCCATGTGGCATGAACAAGTTCAGATTGCATCAGAAGACAAACTAAGAACTAGAAAATGCATTGCCCATTTCTGTCTCTTGTTGGAGATTAAACATAGAATTGTCATCTTTGTTTGGACCAGTTGTCAGCATTGACAGTACCAATAAAAACCAATTGTTGTTGTTAAGTGTCATCTAGTCAGTTCTGACTCATAGTGACCCTGTATAGGGTTTCCGAGAACCAGCTGTTTGGCTTGAACTGCCAACCTTGTAGTTCAAACTGACCTTTCACTCCACTGCTTATCCTACAGCACCATACCAGGACTCCATAAATACTCATGCCAGTAGGTGGTATGAATTCGTTTAAATGTAAAGTGAGCATTTGATCTCTCAACTAACGAACCAACACTTGAAGCCCATTGATTTTGGGGAAATGTTTGCAAATTCAAGTGTCTAATCAAATCATGATTCTGCAGGGACCCAGAAAATTCCACTAAGTAAACATTTAATAAATAGAGGTAGTCCCTAACTTAAGACAGGGTCCTGTTCTAATGATTCTGTCTTAAGTCATTTCTAACGTAAGTTTTGTTGTTGTTGTTGTTTTGGGTTTTTGGGTTTTTTTTTTAGTTTTTATTATTATTGCCTTCTATTATCATTATTTTTTTAATCCAATCTTTGGATTTGGAAACATTACATATAAATGTACAGATATATTTAACATTTTATGTAATGCATTTTACTAGCAGTAAGATATGGGGAAAAATGATCGTAAGTGTAGTTCATCATAACTCTCATATGTTGTAAATCAAGGACTACCAGCATTGAGATGTGACCCTGTATTCTGTGGAGTATATATAAAATTCATGTAACTATTTTCTTCATATGAAGCCTTTTTTAGCATTGAAGACTTTTATTAGTTTCCTAAGGCTTCACTAACAAATCATCATAAACTGGATGAATTAAAACTACAGAAATGAATAATCTCACAGTACTGAACACAGGCATTCCAAAATGAAGGTGTTGGTTTGGCCCTACTGTCTCAGAAAGCTATGGAAGAGAATTCTTCCTTGCTTCTTCCAGCTGCTGGTGCCTCCAGTCTTTGCCTCTGACTTTACAAACCCTTCCTCTTCTGTCTCTTATAAGGACACTTATCATTGGAGTCCTGGTGTGGTACTGTGGGTTAATGCGTTGGACTGCAATGTCAGTTTGAATCTCAAGGTCGGCAGTTCAAGCTCACCAGCTGCTCCTAGGAAACCCTACACAGGGTCTCACGCTATGAGTCAGAACCGACTCAATGGCACTTAACAACAACAGCATCATTGGACTTAGGGCCCATTTGAATATCCAAGATGACCTCATCTTGAGCTCTCCTTACCTTCATTACATCTGCAGAGTCACATTTTTAGGTTCCAAGTAAGGTCATATTTGTAGGTTCTGTGAAATTGACATATCTTTCCAGAGGCCATCATTCAGCTTACTACAAAAAGAAATAAGGATGCAAGTAGTCGTAACTCCCAATTGCAAAGTAAGTAATAGCAGGGGAGTTGTGAATGTTTGTCTGTCTCATACTAGAGTGGCCAAGAGTACCGAGAAGGTACCAGGATGTTGGCATAATGTGGCTGTCCCTATTGGAAGAGGATAGCTGTCTTAGATGCCAAGGAAAAGAACTTTTAAAATCATTATCTGCCCCTGATGCTCCAGACACACAAAAGACATTAGAGGGGCATTATAAGTATTAACAACATAAACACAATTCTAAAACCCACAGATTTAGAAATTGATCGAAAAAGGAAATATAATGTTGAACCTCCTTGGTTGTGGACAAAGATCAGTCCTCTGCCCCTGGTTTATAAAGGAAACCTGGATAAAATAGAAAGTAGACAATATCCAGCCCTAAACCTCAAGTTGAAGGACATAGAGTCATGTCTCAAAATTATCTCCTCATTCCAGTCTTCCATCATGAAGACATGTGATGTCATATTACTTACAGCTAGAACTGTAGAAACCCCTCACCTTCAGGAATTGAGCTCTTACCAGGCATCTTTACTTGCTGTGGTTTGTTTTAATTCTCCAAATTAAAGAAAATAATAATAGAATTTCCAGGTAAATGAGAACCACAAGACAACGCTAAAGAGGATTGCAAACCCTTAGAAAGACTCTACTGTGGAAGGAGCAAAAGCCATTAGGCAAAAGTTCTTTGTGACACCATGACCTGATTCTCCCAGAACCTCAGGGCTCACACAGTGATGCTAGCAAATTCCAGCTGTGGTGGAAGCTGACCTTCCTAATTCCCATCTGTCTGAGTTGACTTTTGCTCATGACCCTGGATGTTCTTACCTTGTCTTCCTCCTTCCTCTCACAACGCCCTTGAACAGAACTTCAGCTATTGATGCCCACTGCTTTCTAGATGCTGCTTTCTTCCTCCAAAGAAATAGACTGGCTCCAACCTGTTCCTTTTTCATCTTATTTTAAAAAGGAAAAAAACAGCAATAAAAGAGAAAGTTTATTAAGAAGAGGAAAGGAATGCTCTGAGCTATACAAAGAGCAAGGAAAACAAGCATCGGCCAGTTCTTGTAGCTCCCTAGCCTTCTTTTGCTGGCAGTCAGGCTCCCATTTCTGTCCACCTGTTGATTCAGTGCTGCTGACATATTCTTAGTGATACTGTGAAATCGCCATTGTGACGAGAGCTTGTTCAGAGGCAGCCACACATAACTCTTAAGCCAGGAAACACTTCCTGTGATCCATTTGTGTCTCCCTGTGTGAGTGTGGTACATCCATCCAT